TATCTAGGCCCCACAAAGCAGGACCTGAATCCAGAACAAGCCTCCAGTCGTGGGAAACAGTACAAGAATGAGGCAATAGACATAAACATAGCCCAGCTGGGCAAACAGTGAGGGTTCAGGCTACAGGGACTTCCAGGGCAACCCCAGCACAGGCTCATCTAATCTATTGGCACTAAGACGAAAAATGGAGATTGAGTCCCACGTGGAAATTGGAAAACAATTTCTGCCCTGTTCGACTCAGTCCTGGGCCTGTGAATGGAAACTATCTAAGTAGAAGATGAATTTGCCCCCTACAATTTCTAATCAAGACCTCAGTATACTGAAAGAATAAATAAGAATATACTACACTGTCTGGTGTTGTTTACCTGATTTATGCCTCAGTTCAGCTCTACTTAATTACAGGCAATTCTACCCACAAGGTATCAGCCAATATTTGAATTAAGTGAGCAAAGCTGGTGTCTCTATCAAACACTTCCTCTATCCAAGATGGTAAATAAATACTATAGAATCGGGGAGCAAAATTTCACATATTTGAATGGTGTTGGACTATTCAATACTGTCCTTTGCTTTTTATTGGTGAGGATCTTGATAATAATTTGCTGCCTGAAGTTCAAAAGAACTGAGCTAATCAATTTCATTTCTTTGAAAGTTGTTCTTGAGTTATTAAATTATTTTAAAATTTAATTGTGTTCCAAAGAGCTATTTCTATGCTATGATCCTATCAGAGTTCACAAGCATGTGGAAGGTATCAGTCAGGAAATAGGTAAGGAAGAAACAATGTTTCTTAGCAAGAGCAACTCAGGTTTTTGGGTGAATCCTAACCCTTAGCTTTAGGCCCAAGGCCAAGTAGAGAGGAGCTCTAGAGAGGGGCTCTAAACAATACATGATATCTTATATATCTGTGCGTGGCATGTTTATATTTATGATACAGGATGCTAAGTTCTCTTCTTTTTTTTTAATTTTTTTTTTTATTTCAGTACTGGGAATTGAACCCAGGAATTTACACATATGGGGCAAGGGCTTTACCACTGAGCTACATTCCCAGCCCTTTTTAAAATTTTAAGACAGAGTCTAAGTTTCCCCGATGGGCCTCAAATTGTCATCAGCTCAGCTGGGATTACAGGCTACCTCCACCACTACATCCAGCTCCTTATTCCTGTTCTTTCTCTTTTCTGCCTCTCCATGTTGTCTGAACTAGAGACACAGTATGCCCTCTTTGGATAAGAATCATGTCACAATTCTTCTGAGTCTATTCAAGTAACTGGGTATCTCTTAATTTACAACATGACACTTCAACCTTTTAAAATTAGTGCTTGTCTTCATGTTCTCCTCAGGCGCATCAGAGAACAGAGGACTCAAATGAGGAACCCAACCAGGACCCCCGAACTCTTCCATCCATGAACCAAAACAAAGACCCAAGCCCGCTCAGGAGAACTGGACCATCCTTACCATCCAAGCCTAAAGCCCAAGTGCTAATCAACCCATACTTTTGGCAACTCTAGTTTCTGTGAGTTTTCTTTTGTATTCTTTGTTAATGTCCATGAAAGAGGCATTCCAAGTTATCTAGAGGAGAGAGAGTAAGTAAAAATAAAATACGTTGCTTGTGCATCTGATGTGATTCCTTTTATGATCATTTAGATAACTAATCTGACTAATAAATAACTAATAAATCTGAAGCCTCCCACAGCCTGGCCTCTGCATGGAATCTTAACTAAGACACACAGCCCAGGGGCCAAAAAATAAACATTATTTTATCATTACTATCTTTTACTTATGTTTCTAGAACATCAAAAGCAACCTGATTAATAATATACAACGATACTACTCCAGATTCCTTTGCCCTTCCTTCCATTCTCTTCTACACAGCTTCCCACGGTCTACAATCCAAAACTAACCCCACAGTCCCTGCCACAGCAATCTGCGCCACACGCCGTCTTCTCATCCACACTCTTTACGAGCAGCTCAGCTTTGTCCTTCCTCCAACCTCTGGGTCTCTGCAGCCCTCTCAGAAAAGATCCAAGAACCAGCCTAGGAAGGGTGTTGGGAAAGGGATACGGTTTAGAGAAAAATTAGAGACCATTAAAAAAAAAAATTTACTTCCCTACCTGGTAGAGTTCAAATGTGTCCCCACAAATTTTTCTATTGGAAACTGAATCCCAGGGCAACACTGTTGGGGAGAGCGTGCTTTAAGAGGCCACAATGAATGGAATAAGGCCACTATTACAGGAGCTGGCTCAGGACTGGGGAGTGGGTTTGTTATCAACGCCTGTGATCGCCAAGCCCATATTAGCCTCCAAGGTGCCGAGCAGAGGCTGGCGTTGGGCCCTCGGACTTCCCAGTATCCAGAACTGTGGGCCAAATAAGATTCTTTTGCTTCTAAATTATCCAATCTGTGGTATTCTGTTCAAGCAACACGAGATAAACTAAGACTCTCCCACACAGAGTAAATAGAAGTCTAATCCCAGAGATGCAGGCATTTTGTAGATTTAGAATATCCCTGGCAGAAAATCATCTAGATATTTCAGTGTGATTGATATTTAGGTGGAATCACTACCTTAATTCCCCAATTCAAATCAATAATGCAACATGTCCCTCTGCGCCACAATTCACCTACCGATGCCTCTTTTGTCCCAGGAGACAGCAAACAAGAGTGCACAGTCTGAAAGCAAGTACTATTTAAAATATTTTTAATGGTTGGAACAAAGTGGAAAGAAGAGTAATATCCTGTGACCTGTGGAAATTGTGTGCAGCTTGAATTTCAGTGTTCAAAACAAAAGTCACCTTGGAACACAGCCACACCCCTTCGTTCCCAGGCCGTCCCAGCTGCCTTTGCACTCGGATAGTGGAGGTGAGTGAAGAGAGACCACAAGATCCCCAAATCCGGAGATGTTTACCATCTGGCCTTGTCTAGAAAAAGCTAGCTGACCCCTGCTGGTCTCATAACATCCTGTCTTATTTGGTTCAGGAATTTAGATTAGCATCTGCTTAATATTTAGACAGCAAAAGGTCACTGTAGGTAGCTTACGTGAACTTTTCCATCCTATAAAAAGAAAGACACCACAGAATAATTTACCCTAAAAACCTTCAGGCCTCAAACTAGCAAGGTCTATGAGAAGTGCAGTCCTGTGTGCTCACGATGCTATTTTTGTTTTTATTAAAACAGAAGCAAGGACATTTAGAAATTACTATTACAACAAATGTAGTTAACAGCTAGGCCAGAATTCATCTACATGAAACACAGCCTCTACTACTTCAGTATCTCTCTTTCTGTTCATCACCAAAGGTGTACAATTATTTTCTACTGAATAGTGTTTCTCTTCTACCCTTGAGGTGGCTGCCCTGTGTGCAGAGCTGGTTCTTCTAGGACAGAAAAGGACCTGTAAGAAGTCATCTGCTCTTCTTGCAGAAGAAAAGCACAATGGAGCTACTGAATACACTAGAAAAGTAAGAGATTCTGTTTACATTATGACACAGGAATGCTACATTATTTGCATCTTAAATTATAATTTTATTTCCTTCCTCACTTCAACTTACTTCTTCTGAGCTCTGAATGAATATCCCAGGTTCTGGTATTATTTCATGTAAAAGCCAGGGTTACTTCCCACGCACCCCCCTTCCACTTCCTCTTGTCTCCTTAAGTCACTTGAAAACATCCAGTTACCCTGCCTTGGAGGAAAAAGTACTCTTAAGAACTTCAAGGTTACCAAACGCAAAAGCTGTCTTTTATTTATTTCAGTCAGTAGACAGAGAGCACAGAACAGGAATTTCAGTTGTACAATCTGCCCGTGCTTAGAAGAAACATTGAAAGAAATAGCAATAGGATTTCTTAAGACATTAAAAAAAACAATATTACTCAGTTAATAGCCCTATTTATACAGCATAGCAGGCAGAAATGCACAGTTAAACTGATTTTTTAAAAAGGTAAACACAGCACATTGTTATTAATGCATTTGCAAAGCTAAAGCAATGGCGAGCACTAAGTGCCTGGTGGAGAGGGGAAGCATTTGAAGTTATCAAAGAAAAAAATCCCAAAGTAAAAGAAAAAGAAGCTCTAGTTTAAAGAATGGTTAAAGCTACTACTTTTAAATGGTGTGAGTTTTGACATCTTCGAAAGAGATAAAGAAGAAACCAAATGTTCAAGAGCTGAGAGCAGAAGGGGAAAGAATAATTGGTGTGATCTGAAGGATGAGTTGGAAAGTTCCAGGCGCCCAGCTTGGAGAGAGCAGTTACCCTAAACTGTTACCCAAGCCCC